ACTAATAAGCACATTCATTTTTAAACATAAGGGAAACAGAACATGTAAAAATCTGTAGTATGTCAAACTTTATTGTAAACCATTATACAATGTAAGTATATAATATACCCTTAAACTTTAATGCAACACCACTGATTAAACAATAAAGTTCAAACAGAGGGCAGCAGATTTCAGTTGTTTGCTGACATAAACTACTCCCAACTTATGAACAAATAAACCCGAAGTTCAATTTGACACATACCCAGGCACGACAAAAACCCAATTACAAATGAGTCCCTTTTTAAAGATAATGCAGTTTTACTTTGTAAAACCATAGTAGTCATTTTCAGTTATTAAAATTGAAACTAAAATTGTCTAAATAAAAAGTTGCACAGCTGTGCTCTAGATCTACTTTGACCTGGTGTGGCTGTATTTGTTCACTTTCACTACTGTTTGTAGCTGCAAAAAAGTACAGAAAGTTGCAGACTTCAGGTTACTCAAGCAATGGAAGAAATGTATTAAGATGCTCAACCCTTCATGCTAAGGCTGAACATTCCTTCCCCCATTAGGCACAGCTGGAATCTGTGCATACACCTGTGAGAAGACGGCAGGTGCACTCTGCATTGTTTTAGTCAGGTTCACAACTCAACAAGTATGAGTCTTCCTGAAGAAAAGCTATCTTACGTTTTAATCAGCAACATTAACAGAGCATTTTACTGACAAAGTAAGACAAGTGGACCTGAATATAGTAAAGTCAAAACTTTAAGACCACATATTAGATGACAACGTCACAGCACAGATATAATTGATTCATGTGTTGTACGGTGGACAAGTTATGGTAATCTTGACCTCCAATATTTCTGCGTCTCATCTGTAAATGTATCTTACTTCTCATATATTAGATAAGCTTATTTTAATTAAATAATGGAATAATTTTAATGACTACCTTTTTTTACAGTCTGAATTAAACAGGAGTGGGGAACCTTTTTTGGGCCAGGGACACTGACCCACAGGAAAATCAGGTTGGGACTGCACAAAAGTGAAAAGCAAACCCCTCACTGATGCAGCCCCCAACTGAGAAACAGAGTGACACTTCCCACATTCTCCTCATACATAATAGCCTTGGGGGAGTTGGGCTTGTAGATTGTGGGCCCCCCGAAAGCTCTGGGGTAGGACCAAAATGAGAGGTTCAGCGTGTGGGAGTAGGCTGCCGGAAAGTGGGCTGGGGTGTGGGTTCTGGGCAGGAGAGAGGGTGCAGGAGTGAGTTGGAAGGGCTGGGAAGGTGGTAGGGTGCAGGAATAGGTTGGGGGTGGAAGGGCTGGGCAAGAGGTGGGGTGTGGGATCTGGACGGGAGGTGGGTGCAGAAGTTGGCTGGGAGCCTGGGTGGAAGGTAGGGGGTAGGAGTGCAGGAGCGAAGTGAGATGGCTGGCCCTGGCCGGATCCAGCCCCCTGGCCCTTAGGTTCCCCAACACTGCTATACTAAGATGGACTTGTCACAGCTGACTAACATTTGGAGAAGAATCACATTGTGCTTCCAGGTCTTCAAATTATATCAACTTATTATGGAATAGTTTCTTTTAAACTGCATTGCCAACATACTCCATCTAACAGCAAAGCAGAGTGAAGCACTAGATGTTACATGTCTCAGCTTCAAAGAAGAATGGATACACTTTTAACTACCATATTAATTCATTTTTCTTTCATTTAAAACTTTTGCAAACAAACAGGAAATAATTTCAGAGGGGTAGCTGAGTTACAGACTAACTGAAAAAACTTAAACAAACAGTCATGTAGCACTTTAGAGACTAACCAACAATATACATGGTATCACTGTGCTCATGAAAGCTCATACCATCCACATTTTTTGTTAGTCTCCCAGGCTCTACAGGACTATTTGGCTTTTTAAAGGAAATAATTTAACATTTCCCTTTTCTTTTTTGAAAGGGTAATGAAAATAATGAACAAAAATGTCATATTTTGTTGTCGCTTGGGGGAGCTTTAGGAGTTTAGTATTAAAAAGAAGGGACTATATCAAAATTAATGCTCAAATAATATTTTTAATAAAAGGTATTCATTTCTCTGCCCTATGACTGCGGGAATGCAAAATGCTCGAGAGTCTTTGGCAAGTAGAATTTCACTGTCATAATTCCTGTTACAATACTTATAAATCTCCACCCAGAGATACTGAAGCACTTAAGAAAAAAGGGGGAAAAAAGCATTTTTACCCTTAAAACAATCTGATGAAAATCACTCTGTGGTGCTTTATACTATCTGTCCTTGGACAGTAAGTCTGAGGTCTGTACAAAACAAGCTTATTTTACATGATTAAGGCCATTTCATGGTTCACATACTAAAATTGAGACTAGAAACAAAATCCATTTTGATAGTCTCCATAATTTGAATGCAGGAAGGAAAAAAATAAAGCTCTTGATTTGTGCGCTGTTGAAATGATCCCTAATGACTCTAGTGGATAAGTATGTATACTAAAGTGGAATAAAGAAAGCATCAGCTGTTTTAGTTCATTACCTTAAATAGAACAAGGCCTAGGCAAGTCTCCTCAATAGGTGAGCTGACAGCCTCGCTGGGCCCCTGGGCAAAGTGTGCGGAAGGCAATGTGCTCCCAGCAGGGGCGGAGCCTCAGGTGGAAGGGGCACAGATGGGGCAGCTGGTCCACAGCTTGCTTGAACAGCACCCCCACAGCGCCATGTGGGGCTCTGCAGTGCACCACATGGGGCTCCAGCAGCAATTTAAAGGGCCCGGAGCTCTGGCTGCCACTGTGGTAGCAGCTGAGTGCCCCGGGCCCTTTGAATTGCTGGGCCCTCCATCCTGCTGGTGGGCTACTCCTCCAACTCATGACAAAAAATACTGATGTTTCTGAACAGCGAAGACTAGCTCTTAACTCTAATGGGGTTGGTAATGCTGTACTAGAGTATATTGTGCACTCAAGTGAATTTCTTTTAAACTGCTCTACTGGAGAGGTTGCACCTGTCTGATCAGACAATACTCAAGAGACAGGGTAAATCACAAAAGCTGAAACATTTACCAAATACGTAAGCTAACAAATTGGAAGGCAATATTGATTAGTGACGTTTTCCCAACCTCATGCTTCAGAGAAACTCAAATTAGGGAAGTGTCTGTTTTTCATAGTTTCTAGAGTTAGCGAGATAAACATTAGCATTTAACTTATTGTAAATATTATGTTTTAGTACACAGTAACAGTGGTCAGTGGCTCCAGCTAGCTCAAATGTTAGGTTTGGTAAAATGTCCTGTTTAATCTGCTGAACAGATTAGGATGTATCAAGGAAGTCCCAGGACATGTTGTTTACCTCAACAGCCAAGCAGTAAACAAATATTTGAACAGTGAAAGTCAGCAAGGGAGCACACAGTAGTTCCTAAGGCCTATCAACCTCACTTCAGCAGTATTGATATAATACCACATTAAGACCTACTACATATATAAAAAATGTAAAAAAACTTTAAAAAGTTCTGAGCTGTCTTCCAGTGAACTTGTTTGGTTTTTTAAGGCTTAAAACACACCTGATGTCCAGATACTTCAGCAGATTTACAACTTTTCTGATCTTTGCCTTATTACCTTGTCCTACACAAGGCTTAATTGAAGCAAAAAAAGTTGTCAGAACAGTAACTATTTGTGAAATACACAAAACAAACAGGTGGTCCCAAAAAACATGTCTACAAGGATTCAACACTAGCAGATATGTTTTCATATACCACAGAGATGAGACTGAAAGCTGCAGGCATCTTAGATGTAGTAACAGGTGCATTATACCTCTCAGTTTTATTCCAAATAGAGAAACAAATAGGCTTTTTTGAGGAATTAAGGAATATGTGTGTGGGAGAAGGATGCATTAAAGCCTTCAAATGAAGTATTGTTATTTATGGTTAGCACTACACATTCATATTTAAATGGAAAATATATTAAGCAAAAATGCAACCCTCCCAGAGAAAGAATTCTATGTATTAAGGCAGTGCTAACAGCTCTATGCAGATCAAAAGGGTACTATATGCACTAGATCCCCACATAAGGAACGTAACAATGGAATGTTTTGCCTCCTTTGAAATAGTTGAGAGGTATGATAAGACTTGCAAGTTCATGAGAGACAAATATTGATGAAGACATCTTTAGACGTTCATTTCACAGGAAACGATCAGAAAAATTTTGTTTTCTTTATCTGCTAAAGTGCATATCGCCAAATATGCAGAGAACATCTCCATTTTACAAAACATTATTGTCAAACGATGTGGTCAAACCCACAATTGGGGCTACATTTGGTGGTTCAACAGCGAAAGAAAGCTTTCCCTTTGTGAAAACATCATTTGCCTTTTCTTAATCAAGTGAAAAGGACGAATGAGAACTTCACTGTAAATCTTCCGATTGTTTTCCACACAAAAAAGGGAATAGTGTCCTTTTCTCTGACAAAGAGAATCCTTAAATATAACTGTATGAAAATATAACTTAAATATAAAATAGTCAAATAGGTTAGAGGAGACTTGGAAAAAAATCTTTGTTCCACCCATTAGTTCATTAGGTACCTTGTAGGAAGTAAACACGTATTTAAAAAAATAACATTAAGTTACAGTTTGTAACCATAAAACTATTCTGCTCTAAGAATTAATATGGTGGAAAAGCCTGTTTTAGTAATAGAGCACGCTGGTTCCACTTAGTAAATCCCAAGGTCTTGCATTGAATCGCTCAGGAACCATAAGCGAGACACTGAGTAACCGTTTGTCTGTCGTCTTCTCTGATGTGACCGATATAACCCATTTTAGTGACTGGTCCCCAACGATGCTGTGTTTCCATAAATGATGAAAAGACATCTTGCATATTTGGTCAGTATTTCTGTAGTGCAACTGAACTGAAATGCTTCCAGCTACTTGCATCCCAATCACAGACCTGTTAACAGTTTGTAGGAAAAAAAGGATGCTGTTGCAAGTGAAAACCCACTGACCAAGAAGCATATGCCTCAAACCCTGCAAATACACAGGCCAGGAATGCATCATACAGGCAGCCCAAAACGATGCTTCTTCTTAACAGGTTTTAAGTTAGTCAGTCTCCGCAGATCCTCTTCAACTTCTGACTCCTCCATTTCATCATCTGCTGAAATGAGTATCTAAAAACAGAAATATCAACAACATGTTGAAAATAAGATGCAATCTCTATTTTTGCTCTTCTTTGAATCTATTTAAAATAATTTATTCTTGTAAGATGCTCAATTAATTATGCAGTGTTTAAGAAAATAGGTTTTATTAAAACCAGAGACTTCTGAATCATTTGTTAGGTTTCATGTCAGCGACTGGCATATTACACTAGAAAGTAACTTTCAAACATCAAAATGCTTTTTCATACTTCAGCTTCCATGCAAGAACGAAATCAGGGTGCCCAAAATGTGTGTCTATCCCAGAGCAGTTTAAGCAACTTGCCATGAACACGTTTGTAGAAACTGAAAAATGCAGTCACCTTCATTTCTAAGGGTATGCCTACACTACCACCCTAGTTTGAACTAGGGTGGTTAATGTAGGCATTCGAAGTTGCAAATGAAGCCCGGGATTTAAATATCCCGGGCTTCATTTGCATCTTGCCGAGTGCCGCCATTTTTAAATCCCTGTTAGTGCGGACTCCGTGCCCGCGGCTACACGTGGCACGGAGTAGGTAGTTCGAATTAGGCTTTCTAATACTCCTTACTTACTGTGGAACGAGGAGTAACGGTAGTTCGAATTAGAAAGCCTAATTCGAACTACCTACTCCGTGCCACGTGTAGCCGCGGGCACGGAGTCCGCACTAACAGGGATTTAAAAATGGCGGCACTCGGCAAGATGCAAATGAAGCCCGGGATATTTAAATCCCAGGCTTCATTTGCAACTTTGAATGCCTACATTAACCACCCTAGTTTGAACTAGGGTGGTAGTGTAGACATACCCTAATAGAGATATGGACCTACAAAGTCTGCAGGCACTTGACACAAGAAAGTACTGAAGACTGAGACCTATTGTATTCTGGAACCTCACAGATGTTCTAGTTGTGGGCAAACAGGTTCTCTGACCATCTCTTAGTGGCAGTTCTATTTACCAAACAAGAGTTGCTACTGTTGATAATGTAGATAACTGATATTAAATAATGGTGACAGAAGTGCTCATATAATCAAGAAAGCTGCATAACATTTAAAACAAGATAATTTTAGGAGCAAGAAAGTTAAAAATGATGTTTTGGCCCCTTTCACAGATATTTCAGTATAACTACTGAAAGTACTCCATTCTACAGAAAAACAGAAGTAGACAGCAGCTTAAACATGGTAATGACTCTTTCATAGCTAACGGGTTTCAGAAGTAGCTGTGTTGGTTTGTTACAACAAAAACAGGGAGTCCAGAGGCACCTTCTTATCCAGTGGATAGGAAGGTGAAAAGCAAAAAACCTTAAACAGGCTGCAATATGAACTGCTGAGCGGGAATTCATATGCAAATTTGACACCAGTAAAATTGGGTGAATAGGAACTGCGAATGGCTCTCATTACAGTAAGTCATTTTCCACTTTAGGTATCCTCACCTTCTTATCCACATACACCCCGATTGAATTAGCTCTGATGTAACACTCCCATCTCTGTATCCATGGCACTTGTTTGCAGTGTATAATCCTGTATATTAGTGGTTCTCAAACTTTTTGACCCGTGGCCCACCTGGCTCAATGCAAACCTTTCCGTGGCCCACCAATCGCTAATGGAAACTTGCTGTTAATTACATAATTACGCCTGAGCCATTTTGCTAGTGCTGCAGCTAGAGAGAACGGTTTAATTTAACCAGTAAGAAAGCAAATATTAAATTATGTCCAACACACAAGGTTTCAATGTTTTCTTTATTTATGGCAGAGGTGGGGGACCTTTTTTTGGATTGGGAGCCACTGACCCAAAGAAAAATCAGTTGGGGACCACACAACTGAGAAGCAAAAAAACCCTCCAAACCCCCAACCCTCATTCCTCTGGTGCTCCAGCTCCATAGATGGGATGGGGGCACAGGGAGGACTCAGGTTCCGGGCTTCCAATGGGCTGGATTTACTTTTCTGGGGTTTCGGGGCAAGTGGATTTTGTGGACCCCCCAGGCTCTGGGGTTGGGACAAAAGTAAGGGGGTCAGTGTGTGAGACAGGGCTGCCACAGTGAGCAGGGTAGGGATGAGGGTGCAGGATCTGGGTGGGAGATGGGGTGTAGGAGCAGGCTGGAAGTAGGGTGTCTGGCTAGGGGGAATGAGGCAAGAGCAAGGGAAGGTGCAATGTGTGGCCAGGAGGTGGGTGCAGGATCAAGGGTGGGTTCAGGAGCAGCGTAGTGGTAGGGTATTTGACCTGGGGGAGGATGCAGTAGCAGGGTTAGGATAGGGTTTCTGGCCAGGAGGGAGGGTGCAGGAGCAGGGTAGAGGTGTGGGGTCTGGGGCAGAGGGGGCACTTACTTGCTTTTGCCCCCCACACCGCTCACAGGCAATGTGTCCCAGGCACTGCCTCCTTCTGCTCCCATTAGCCAGACTCTGGCTAATGGGAGCAGTGGGGAAAGCCACGAGGCAGCACATCACCACGCTGCTGTTTCCCTAGCCGGGGCAACACATGGAGCCACGTCTGGCTCTGCTTGATTCCACTTCCCCACGAGATGGATCTGGTAGGGAAGCTCGAGGCTCCCGCTCCCCTCCCACCCCGAGGGAAGTCAGCACTGGCGCTCCAACCTCACAGGGTGGAGGGAGCGCGGAACACCAGTGTGGGTTCCCTGCTGTGGGGAGAGGGAGGGTTGGTGGAAGGCAGGGAGCTGATGTTGAGCCACAGACCACATGGAAGACGGTCATGGACCATTAGTTGTCCACACACCGCAGTCTGAAAACCACTGCTGTATATGAATGAATAGATATGGTTTTAGGACTGCTGTAGTCTAACTCATCCACCCTCAAAAAATGGACATTGATTTTTTGTTCAGATGTACGATTTTATAAGAGATGAAATGTCTGTTAATGATCTGAAGTCACCATTTTAAGATACACTGTGCCCCTTGTAAAGTAGAAACAAAGTTGTGGTTAACTGAATTTTCTAACAGGCTCTAAAACCAACCCTTTTAAAAGTCAGCAGTGGGCTTTTGAGGAGTGCCAAACCCCAGCAAACCACCAGCATTCTTGTAAAAGGTCAGTGAATTAGCAGCCCCTGAGTTATTCACAAAACAAGGCTGGCAGGCAAATTTAGTACAAAACTAATCAAGCCTAAGATAGTGTTTAAGTCAATGTCAAGAGGAAAGGAGATGAGTCAGACACAGTCAAATGGTGCATCTACGTACTTCTGACTCTGACTCCTCATGTGATGCTGCTCTTCTGTATCGCACTTTACTTCCATTCCTTGAATCTTGCCCCACTTCCTTTTCTTCAAGTTTAGCTTTTGTCTTCCCTTTCTTCATAAGAAAATTATCCACTACCCAGAACATTAATGCCTGTGAAGGGGGGGAAATTAAGAGTTCATCTTTTCTTTATGTTAGCATGTGCATTAATCATTCAGACATTGAAATGGAGTTGGGGGAATAGTTGCACTAGCTGGGAGTTACACACAGCTGCCCTATTTCCTCCTCTTGCACCAATAAGAAAAAAGCTACTTCTTAGTGGGCTATGTTCAGTCTTGCCATATGGGCAGACTTTCTTGTCAAGGGCATTTCAATGGGATGGCACTTCAGGATAAATTAATGCTTATCTAAATAAACCTAATGTAATTGTGACTTTTTAACTGATACAATAGTATCCAAATAGCACATTCAGAAATGGGTATTGTGGGCACCATTCCCTGTGCCCATTTGTATAAGCTGATTGTAGATTTTGTAGGTACGTAAGTATCCAATCACATTATGCACAGACACACACACAGCAGTATTGGAGACTTGTAATAGTAGGATATCACCAAGGCACACTGTGGATTAAGGAATAATTTTAACAGATGGAGGAGGGGACAGGTGAGGGAGAGAAACAAGTCAACTATCTTGAAAAACACACATTTGTACTAACATTAACAAAGAAGGGAACTATCAGCATGACGATAGCCAGCTCCAATTGGGGGTTCTCTATAGGATTCAATAAAGCTACCTGTGAAAAGAAAAAGATCAAATTCAGATCACAACAGTATGTGCATGCAATTGGGTTAAGAAAGTACTATAGAAAGTATTAGGCTGAAAGCCAGATGAATTAGAAAGGACAGTTTCATTTAGTAAACAAGTGAGGCTGACTGAAAACAATCTAACATCCAACTAACTTGTGATTACAGACAGAATGTGAGGAACTGTGGGTAGATGAAGCAACCAAATATCACTTGACAAATTTCCAAGGAAAATGTTTGAAGTCTCATCACATTGAGATTTAAATAAACTGGTTATAATACTACAAAATAAAGTGCAAAAAATCCAGTCTTATTCCACAGAGATGGTCTAGAATGTTCAACAGGGGGTTATTCAATTTAGCTGCTTGAATGTTAAATTGTGTATATTGTACTAAACCAGACAATCCTACGTGCCACTTATTTCATAGCTAACTTATATAAAAACATTATTAATTATAGACAAGTTATAATTTATCCCTTTAAAAGTGTTTGGATTTGTGGTTCTCACTTGATTCTACACTGAGATTATTCTATTAGAGACATGCCCAGTATCTATGTGCTTCATGCAGTTGAGCTAACCGGCATCATAAAAGATGTTTGACAGAGAAAAACAAAACATAGGCTACGTTCAAATATCCACTCCTTTTCCAAGAAAGCTTTGACAGGAAGAACTGATATCTTGGAAATCGCTTAGAAATCGATATTGCAGTTTTAAAGTTAAAGATCTGGACATGGATACAAAAGTTCAAATATTTTATAAACAAAGACCCTTTAAAGTCAATTACAATACATTACAGCAACTCTTCTGATGCTATAGTATTTTCATGTTTAGATTATAGATCAGGCCTCTTACAATGTTATGATCTGTCATACAGATGTTAGCCTGAGAATCATTCCTCACTACTACAACTTCATTAAGCTTACTGAATGTATATACCACCATACACTTACTAATGTAACTAACAATGCTGCCATAAATTGAAGGGAAGGTACACAATACCTGTATGAAGATTCAAAATACACTTTGTGATGCAGTAGCTGACTTTTGTTCACTTACTGGATTTTTTTTAAATTCAGTAATTCAGCAATGGGTCTTCTATTGCAATGTGAATTACCAAGTTTTTACTACAAAAATGTAACAATATGATGTCTATATAAACACTTCGGGGAGATTTTCTAACACTATGGAAAAGAATACACTCTCTCTAGGTATCTCAGGTGAGCATATAATCTTCTATTGCACACCAGGGTTTCTCAAACTGAGTATCAGGACACCAAAGTGGGTCACAACCCCACTTTAATAGGGTCACAAGATGTTAGACATGCTGAGCCCCACTACCCAGAGCCAAAGCTAAGCCCAAGCCCTATTACCTAGAGTTAGGGTGAAAACCCTGGGTAGAATGGCTAAGGTTTTGGCTATAGTATTAGCAACGGGCTCAGGTTATAGGCCCCTGTCTAGGGCTGAAACCCTTGGGCGGTGGTGTGACTCAGGCTTTAGTCCCCGCTCCTGCAGTCATGCAGCAATTTTTGTTGTCAGGAGGGGGCATGGTGCAATGAAGTCTGAGAAGCCCTGAGGTACACGATGCAATACCCATTAAATGCAAAATAGAATGTCAGCAGTGAAATCCAATTAGTGGTATCAGGTTGCTCCATTACTATTGTCAACAGTTCATTTTCACCAACTGTGGACCTCTGCATAGTTTGTATGACCAAGTCTTTTTGAACTGAAGTAGTATTAATAGCTTCTCTCTAACATCTATCTGAAATCCATTTAACTATAACAATGGAGTAAAGACTCAAACCTCTTTCCACTGAGGTATTAGGAGGACTATAATGATGATGGTTTTCTCAAACATCATGATCACTATGTAGAGTGCACACTGTCCCACCCAAGCACTGCACTGCAGTGGGTCACCTAAAAATGAAAACAAAGGTTTACACACTGATTGAGCTCACTATCACTTGATTTACATGTTTAAAGAAAAACAAGAGCAAAATTAGACAAGGGACAAAGCTTAGCAAACCAAACTCAAATGAAACATTTGGTAAATTATTGCCATCTAAAAGCCGACTATTGATAGTTAACAATAGCAACATTCATTTATATCCATTTACTTCAATGGTTCTCAAAGTGCGGTCCCCTCCCCGATGGTCTGTGGCTGGAACTCAGTCCACCCCCCCACAGCGGGGAGCCTGCGCTGCCAGTGGGTAGGTGAAGGAAGCAAACTCACTCTCCTCACCCCCCCATGTGGGCCGCAGTGCTACACATGGAGGAGCACCGCCCTACCCCGCTTCACTGAAAAGTCCCGCCCGCCACTGGGCGTCAACCTCACCTAGGCCCTGCCTAGCTTGCGGTTGCCATGGTAAGAGCGGCACGTCCCTCGGTTGCTCCCACAGGGCCGCCTGCAGGTTGGGCTATGCAGGGCCTGGCCAGGCAGGGAAGGCTCTTATGGTACGCGAGTGGCCAGTGCCCCCCCCCGCCCCTCCCCTAGCCTCCCTGAACCCCCATTTCCCTGAACCTCCACCACCTCTGAGCCACCCTGATTCCAGCCCTATTCCCAAGGGCACCCTGCCCCACATCTCCTTGAACCCCCTCAGTCACTCTGCCCCCCCAACTTTATCCCTAGGCACTCCCTGCCCCGGCCAGATGCTCCACCCCAAGCTTCCTCCTGGGCAGACACCTCACTCCCAGCCTGCTTCTGCACCCCACCTCCCATCCAGACCTTGCAACCTCTCCCCCTTCTGCACCCCTCCTACCTCGTGGATCCTGCACCTCATCCCTATCCCACTCACTGGTAACCCTGTCACACACACTGAACCCCTCATTTTTGTCCCCACCCCAGAGCCTAAGGGAGTTCATAAAATCCAATAATTCCAGAACCCCAGAAGAGCAAATCCTGCCCATGGGAAGCCCTGAACCTCAGTCCTCCCTGTCCCTTCCCCTTGCTGGAGCGCCGTAGGAGTGAGGTGTCTCAGTTGGGGGCCACATCAGTGAGGGCTGGGGGTTTTTGGAGGAGTTGCTTTGCTTCTCACTTGTGTGGTCCCCAACTGATTTTTCTGGGGATCAGTGGCCCCCAACACAAAAAAGATTCCCCACACTTGTCATAAATAAAGAAATTGTTGAAATGTTTTGTGTTGGACATAATCTAATATTTTACTTTATTTAAAATGAAGTTTGATAAACTAACATAAGAAAGTTAAAACACTTAATCTGTTTAATGAAAACCATTTTCCTTATCTGCAGCACTAGCAAAATGGATTGGGCATAATTATGTAATTAATGGTGTGTTTCCATTAGCAACTAACTGGTGGTCCATGGAAAGATTTACATTGAACCAGGTGGTCCACAGGCCAAAAACTTTGAGAATCATTGATTTACCTGAAGGTGCCTTCCCTGATTAGTCTGAATTTTTGTGCTTAGGAGATCTCGCCAAAAACTTTGAGAATCATTGATTTACTGAATTTTTGTGCTTAGGAGATCTTAAAAAGTACCTCTTATAAATTTTTGAGAGCTGTCTGTGAGTATTTGTCCATCCAACCAAGTACTCCTAAATTACAAGGGCTTGGACCACCATATTTAGTATACAGCTTCCTCTTACTGTATCTTGAAGCAAGGTAAGAGGTTGGTTGTGCCAGGAAAATGGGATGTGGGGGGAGGGAGCTGGAGCAGCCCCCTTTAATTAGTTAATTGGTTAAACGTGAAGAAAACTTCACGTTTAACCAGTTACTCCCATAACTAGGGATGTAAAATCCCATGTATTTGGTTATCTTGATATGGTTTGCTCTAGTACACATTACTGAAATCAACACAAAGCACAAAATTAGGTTACCTCATGTTTTTTTAAAAATTTAAAGCCAGTGTTGCTATAATTTCCTTCCCATTTTGGCAAATAATTGTTTTCTAAGCTAAAAATACTTGGCTGCTTCTCTGTATTTTGCTCTAGCACAAATAACCTTTCAAAAGAAATTAAAATATTCCTGTATTTGTGCTTTTGCCACCCTGGATATATAAGTATTTTATATACATGTCAGCAGCAATGACTAACCATGGTAAGAAGACTGCAACAGATTGCAAGAGAATGAGTAGTCTTCAAAAATTTAATTTTGTTCAGAGCTTCCTGCAAGTTAATCAGGATGTATCTTCATTGTATTGATTAAAGTAGTATTGTATGTAAATCAGAAAAAAGTATGCAATTTTGTTGAATCCCAGGTAAGGTACTGTAAAATGAATATCAAGCCAATTACCCACTGCTCTGGAATTTGATCTGTCATACAAGTATTCTAACAGAAAAAAGAATGTATCCTGTTATGACTACAGCACTACATACATGGCTGCAGTTGAGGTAAGAGTGGACTGTCTGATAAAACATTAAAGTGAATTTTAACCAGCATTACAATAGTATCAGAATTTAACAGCTCAGGAGAACTTTACTAACACTTCATTTAAAAAAAAAAATTTTTTTCCTACACATTTCACCATATACTTTCAACAAATAACTTTTACAGCATCTTTATACATGGCTTACATTTAAGACTGAGAATAAAGTGCAATGGAAATCCAAATGCCTTTATACAGATCTAATGCAGAATTAACCATGGCTACTTCCTACTTACTAACTTTTCTGGAAAGTTATTGAAAGATGTATATCGGTCTTTAGCTTTATACTCTGCTAGTTAAAATGCACAGCAGGCAGAAATTGAGTTTTCAGACTAGAATCCAGCTTTTCCCAGAACATTTTTTCACCAGGAGATAACAGTGATAAACATGGAATAAATATTCCTAGAGTGCTACAGTTGAAATGTACTTGTTTTAAGGTGTAGGGTTTTTTTTGGGGGGCGGGGGGGGGAGTACAGGGGACAATGTAAGGCTTAAATTATAGGGTTTTTTTTTTGGGGGGGGGGGGAGCACAGGGGACAATTTAAGGCTTAAATTATACTGCCCCAACATATGAAAGTCTGAAAATTCTGAATGATGGTTCAATAACCAACAAATCATGCAACTATGATTTTTCCAGAGATTGAGTGTGTGAGTTAAGACTGAAATTAACAATGAATTCCTAGACTATCAAGCTTTTATTTTATTAGTATTTTCTAATTTTTCTTTCACTATGTAACTGCAGTGGAAACAAAATTATAGTCTGAACCACAAAGTTACCATTGGGTCTTAAAAATCCATTCTGTAATTTATACATTGTGAAAGCTACAGCAATTGAAATAAAAAAATCTCATGTACTCTGATTCCACACCATGGGATTTCATACCATTGTACCTAAGAGTACACACCACCTTGATTATAATAGTTAACAGAAATAATAATAAAAAAAACAAGTAGTGGTTAAAAAAGTGCTGGCAAATGTCACTCTGTCAAAACTGATGTCACAATTAGAAAGTGAAACCAATTTTGGCACAGATGTGAAGTAGCCTTTTGAGACCTGGCTGCATTTAATAAATTAGATCTGAGTCAGTTTTAGTCTGTCAAACTTTCAAAAAACTGTCACCTTTATTACAGAAAGTTTTAAAATTATGCATTTCACAGAAAACATCTGATATTACATGTCCTCTAGAAAGTTACTCAAAGTTTTCTGGAGTATCTTCATTTTTCAAAGATGAGGAAAGAGAAGAGGAAGTTACTCATCTTGTGCAGTAACAACAGTTCGAGATGTGTGTCTCCGTGGATGCTCCACTGTTGGTGTCAGGTCGTCCTGGCACTGCAGATCAGAGTTTATTAGCAGTAGTCAGCCAGACTGAGCACGTGTGGTGAGTGTCTTGCGCCATTCGTGCCCTTTTGCTCATGCGCACAGTCTGGCTCTTGCCAGTTCCTCAAGTCCACCTAGATATCTGAAAGATACAACAGAGGACTCCAAAGCAGGGAGGAGAGCGGGTAGTGGAGCATCCACGGGAACACACATCTCGAAGAACTGTCATTGCACAAGGTGAGTAACTTCCTCTTCTTCGAGTGATGTCCCCAAGTGCTCCACTGTTGCTGACTGCATAGCAATACTGGAAAACACATGGAAGGCTGGTCTCAGAGTCATGAATTAGCCACAGTTGAAAGCACTGCAGAGACTAAGCAGTATTGTTAGCTAGACTCTGAGAAATTGCATAATGTTTTCTCCTTCATGAAACATCACTGGCTGACCACGTGGCAGATGTCCCTGAGGGGAACTCCATGAAGGAAAGCAGTGGAGGTTGCTATGGCTCTCAGAGTGAGCTCTAGCTGTTCCCAGGAGTGCTTTATTCTGGATGGCATAGCATTTCATAATGCAGGAAACTATGCGCCTGAAGATGTGTTACGTTGAAAGTGGTTCACCCTGAGAGTGATTTGCTATGGAGATTAGCAAGCGTTCTGACTTGCGGAAAGGTCGAGTCTTGTCTATATAGAAAGCAAGTGCTCTATGCACATCAAGAGAATTAAGCATAGACTCCTGATGAGATGAGCATGGCTTGGGGTAGAAGGATGGGAGGACAATTGGCTCGTTGATGTGGAAGTCTGAACATACTTTAGGGATGAAGGAAGGGTGATGGTGCAATATAAGCTTGTCCTTATTAGAGGCTGTATACGGTGGTACTGTCATTAGGACTGCCAACTTACCACCTCACCAACTCTGCAGGCGGAAGAAATGGCCAGCAGAAAAACCACCTTGATCATCATTATTGAGAGAGGAGAGGTAGCTAATGGTTCAAAGAGGGCTTGGGTAAAGCTGTCCAACACCATCTCTAGGTTCCACACCAGTGGTGGTATTCTGTATGGTGGGTGAAGGTTGCAAAGCCCTTTGATAAATCTTTTGGTGACAGGATGTATGAACACTGAGGGTATGTCTACACTATATGGCTCTGTCAACAGAGCCATGTAGATGAGCTTTGTAGACATAGCAAAATGAAGCGGCGATTTAAATACTCGCCGCTTCATTTACA